CCAGGGCTCCAAAGTCTTTGCCAGAGATCTGTCTGCCAGAAAGAGCCAACTGTCAAGGCTGAAGATCGTTTCCGGGACACCTGAGATTCTGAGTGAGATTGAGAGGTTCTATGGGCAGCTGTACACATCATCGTTGGAGCCACACGCAAGTGCGAGTAACGATCCAAGAGCAAGTCTTATCCGACACTGTTCCGATGATATCCCGGACGTCAGTCTGAGCGAGATTAGAATGGCTCTCCACCACCTTAAAAACAGCAAGGCCCCGGGCGAGGATGGAATTACAGCGGAGCTTCTGAAGGATAAGTACGGGTGGAACACCGGTACTTGAAGTCCTTCAGAAGCTCTTCAATTCCGTCCTCCATGGTGGCACTACTCCGGAGGCGTGGAGCAGAAGCGCGTCGGACTTGTTCTTTAAGAAAGGCGACAACGCTCTCTAGAAGAACTACAGACCGATTTCCCTTCTGAGCCGCGACTACGTGCTGTTTTCGATAGGCATTACGAATCGTCTCGCACGCAGACTCAACGACTTCCAGCCTCCCGAACAAGCCGGTTTCCGAAAAGGCTTCAGTACCATAGACCACATACATACCCTTCGGCAAATTGCACAGAAGTCCGAAGAGTACAATCTGCTACTTTGCCTGGCGTATGTCGACTATGAGAAAGCCTTTGATTCCGTCGAAATTTGGGCGGTGCTACTGTCTCTTCAGCGGTGCCTAGTTGACTGTCGGTATATTGAAGTGCTGAAGTGTTTGTACAGTAGGGCTACGATGGCTATCCGAGTACAGAAACAGAGTACAAAACCTATCCAACTGCAGAGAGGTGTAAGACAGGGTGATGATATATCCCCGAAACTCTTCACCGCTGCATTGGAAGACGTTTTCAAGCTACTGGACTGGAAAGGATACGGTATTAACATCAATGGCGAGTACATCACTCACCTTCGATTTGCCGACGATATAGTCCTTATGGCAGAATCGCTGGAGGACCTTAGCACTATGCTCAATGACCTCAATGGTGTCTCCCAACGGATAGGTCTTAAGATGAACACGGACAAAACAAAGATCTTGTTTAATGTCCATGTCACACCTATGCCGGTAATTGTTGGGAGCACTATGCTCGAAGTTGTTGACGAGTATGTTTACCTGGGACAAATAGTCCGACTAGGTAAGTCCAACTTCGACCGAGAGGTCAATCGACGGATTCAACTCGGCTGGGCAGCGTTCGGGAAATTACGACACATCTTCTCGTCAGGTATACCTCAATCTCTGAGAACTAAAGTGTACAACCAGTGCGTGTTACCAGTGATGACTTACGGATCTGAGACGTGGTACTTCACCGCTGGCCGTATGAGGACGCTCAAGGTAGCTCAGCGAGCTATGGAGAGGGCTATGCTCGGAGTTTCACTGCGTGATAGATTCAGAAATGAGGATATCCGCAGTAAAACCAGAGTGACCGATATAGCCCAACGGATTAGTAAGCTGAAGTGGCAATGGGCCGGCCATATAGCTCGAAGAACCGATAACCGATGGGGAAGAAAGGTTCTCGAATGGCAGCCTCGTACCGGTAGGCGTAGTGTAGGGCGACCCCCCACTAGATGGAGTGACGACCTGGTAAGATATGCAGGAAGTCGATGGATGCAGGTGGCTCAGGACCGTGATTTGTAGCGTTACTTGGGGGAGGCCTATGTTCAGCAGTGGACTTGTGAAGGGCTGTAATGATGATGATGATGATGATGAAGGGACATTCAACGTACTTTTACAGAAATACGACATAAATTGTTATGCTTTAAAATGATGCCGTGGCATTGAAAGGGATTTTATCGCACGGCATTAAAAGATGCGCCTCAGGCTTCAGTGGCGGGATGCCGTGGCATACTCCGGTAGGCAACGGCATGCCACGGACTCCGGTGCTCGTAGTGATATACTGCGGGGTGCGGCGGCGGGGGTAGAGAAGCGGGGAATGCACACCATTGACCATCCATTTGCGCCCGCGTCTTTGACGACTGTGTACCTACGTGATTTTTTCGGAGACCAGTTTTTTACATTTTTTATTCCAACATGGAGGAAAAATTAATTACTTTAGTTCAAGCCTAATTATTTATATTATATGTCATCAAAACATATGAACACTCAGATGAAGAACAATGCGTGGAAAAGAATTGGAATAGAAATGAATAAAACAGGCAAATATTTTTGCAATATAATAATATTTTAAGATTTAACTCGATATTAATGTCTATTTACAATATTGTTTTGCCATGGAATCGAGCAATGGCGAAGCTTCCATTAAAGCCCAAAAGCCGGGCTTGCCTTTTTAAACCTGAATTAATCAATAATATCAACTAATTAAATAACTCGTAAAATGTTTCAAGCTATTTCAAATTTCCCGCGCACTCCACAGTTCGACACATGTCGACCGATGACCTCGTATTACCTTAGCGATACTGCTGCTGTCATAAAAAATGAGTTTTAATAGAGCTAATAGTTGTCTCCCTCGCTCGCGTGGGATTTTACGGGGCTTTCGAGAAGACGATCGCTCTCTTTCTAACCTATGGCAAAATATTCTATAATGAAATATAACTACAATTGTATATATAGCAATTAGTATCCAGATTTAAAGCCAGGCTTTTGGGAATAAATTTGTTAAAAGCGGAGGCGCGCGGGCAATACGTTTGCAAGTTCATTTCACGTTTCAATGTTTATTTATTCTGTGTGCTTATCTTAAGCGATTTAATATTACGAGTTCAAAGTTTATGCTTTTTTAAAGATTTTTAATGAAAATGGAGGATAATAGTGTTCCTTGTGATGAATTGAAGTGTGTTAAAGTGATAATCGCAGAGGAAATCTTTAAACTTTATTGAGACAATACATAAAGTTAAGAGTGTATTTCAGACTTATCAATTATCGCAATTAAAAACAGTTATTGGTACAATTAAAACGTTCACCAACATTTTACGTGGACGTAATTAAATCTTTCCAAAAGAAAGCGAGACGATTCCACTTATCTTATCTTATCTCTTATCCATTAGAATGTAAATAATTTTTTTTTAATTTTGTACATAGTTTGTTTGTTCTTTGTTCGTGTTTTACTTTTGTTCATGTAGTATTGGATGTAAATATTTATTTCCTTTCGCTTAAACAAACCCAAACGGCTTTCTTCAAAGCCACCGAAGCTATGCAATTGCTGATATGTAATACAATCTATCTAGCAGTGGTATGCCTTCTGTGTGCTTTATTAAACATATCCTTGACAGCACTGAATATGAAACTGAAGCGTGGAGACAGATCAAGATTAGTGTATTTTTATAAAACTGCAAAAAAAACAACAATCTATATTTTTATCAATTTATAGTAGTTAGCTGGCTCCTGGGGCTTGCCCTAGCTTGGAGCTCTAGCTTCGCCACTGGAATCGAGCCCTCATCAGACTTAAAGTAATCTTTAAACATCTCCCGTACCGTCATACCATCTAATGCATTGTTCATATTATTATCGTTTTCTAAATTAATGATTACACTTGCTATATTTTGGCTTTCTGTGCTTGTTCCACCTATGATGAAATTGTGTAAGCAAGTACATGCTAAAATTATATTATCAATATATTTTGGTTGAACCTGAATTCCTTTTTGACATAATTCGAAACGTTCTTGAAGTATACCAAATGCATTTTCGACGATACGCCTGGCTCTACTCAAACGATAATTGTATATTTTCATTGCTTCATCTGTCAATCGATCGCCACTAAATGGTCTCCTAATGTTTGTGGTTAACAGAAAAGCCTCGTCTGCTACAAAAACATAGGACAACTCAAGATCTGTCCCCGGTAAACGTTTTTTTTTTTGGGGAGGGGGGGAATACCGAGGGCATTAGAAGTCAATTTTTTTCCAAATATTGAGTTTTGCATTACACCTCCATCACTATTTCGTCCCTATGATCCTACATCTGCAATCACAAATTTATAATTTGCATCCACAACCGCTAGTAGTACGACACTAAAAAACTTTTTATAGTTTATGACGAGACTTCCACTATTGCGAGGTGCCTTTATCCTGAAATTTTTACCATCTATTGCACCGATGCAGTTCGGGAAATTCCATTTTTCATCAAATTCCATCGCGATTCGCGTCCATTTTTCCCTTGTTGATTTTGGCATAACACTAGGGCTTAGGACATTCCAAATGACTCGGCAAGTTTCATGTACTAAAGAGCTCACTGTACTAAACCCAATACGATAGCTGTAACCTAGAGACTTGAAGCTACTTCCTGTGATCAAAAATATGAAAGATAATATAAGTAGGGGTAAGTGAGACAGAGTGAAAGACAGGGCACAGTTAAACAAAGTCAATTAAATAATACGATATATGTATTTATATATAATTCCGAATTCCTCACGATATTTTCCTTCACTGTAATGCCAGTGGTAATTTTTACTTAGAAAAAGATTAGCTCAGTATAATAAAAATCCCATAAACATAGCTGGTGCTAACCTAGTCACTATCTAAGGCCTTTTCCCATTACCTACTTATTCTGGTTCTATACCATTTTACCTGCTTATGTTTTGTTTTAGGTGAAGAATGCCATAAAATATGGGGTAATATACGTAATAATTTTAGGAAAGCTCTGAATAACAGAAAAACAAAGACTGGTGACTCGTACACAAAGCGACGCCCTATCAAGTTTGAAAACAAGGTGGAATTTTTGAAAAAAAATCATTCAGCACAGAAAACAAACCTCGAATTTGGACTTCTCTTCAGAGGATACGCAGACTTCTTTCACAGAATCCGCTGTCGATGATAATGATGAACATTTAGTTTCGCGAATGACCAATGATTCACACCATTCTTTAATAAGACCAGAACCTATAACAACTGCCGAAATACTAAATAAATACATTGAATCGAAAAAGGAGGTGGACCCCATTGATTCGTTGTTTCAAACAATGGCTGCCACAATAAAAAACTACCAGAAAGAGTGCAGGTCCAAATAAAGAGACAAATATTTAATATGGTAACTGACGCCGAATTAAACTACATAGAGGGAACTCTAGATCCAACATCTGAAGATATCTCTAGCAATTTGCAACATCAACGACCATGCCGTACCGCTTCTACTTCAAAATCTGGCTGTGGAACCGCGGCAGGCTTGAGCTATGAAGCTGTATCAGGGTTTGGCTATGAAACCACCTCAAGATCTGGCTATGAAGCAGCTTCGGGGTCTGGCTATGGAACAGCTTCGGGCTCTGGTCATGAAGCTGCTTCGGGGTCTGGCTATGGAACCGCCTCAGGCTCTGGTTATGAATCTGTTTCACGGTCTGGTTATGGTACCGCCTCTGGCTCTGGCTATGAAGCTGCTTCAGGGTCTGGTTCTCGGCCTGGAGGGTGGGTGGCTACAAAACCGCAGTTTCTGAATATGAAACTAATCTAAACTAGTAGGTATTCTAAATTAAGTAAAAACAAATAAAGATCCAGGGATTATCAGTGAGAAGATTTATCAGTGCAAAAACTTGAAAATCGTTATTATGTGTCTACAATACATGATTGTATTTGACAAAAAATATGGTTTTTTTTAATTTAATAAAAGAAGAAAACAATAAAACTTATACAATCATTTAACTACCCACCTCAAACACAAGGATAATCTTTGATCGGCTTCAATGGGGTTGCGAAATTTGGTCCTCTGTTTTTCGATATATGGTCGACATATATTCAACAGTGCTTGAAATTTCTCATAATCCATTCTATGATAGTCATAAAAATTTTGCACGTCGTATTTTGTCATTAAATAAATTATTGAATTCACCCTTTGGTTCCCTTTCTTTCCATACATTATCGACCCAACATCTTCTTCTATCCCTATTATTGGCCTGTGCACCTTCTTCATCAGCAACAATCGATATCGACACCAAATCCCAATCTACCATTTTAAAACTGAGGCACACCAACACTCGATCAAACGCAACTGAAGACTAAAAGTGTTTCAGGCAGCAGGAGTCGCTGAGGCGTGCTTTGTCGAACCGCGGCACGCCGTGGCATACCGTGGCAAAATGCTGGAATGCCGCGGTATCTAAGCGGCCAGTGTGCGATGACTCACGGCAAAATCCCTTGCAATGCCGTCCCGGTCTGCGTAGGCCCTTACACACCTCGAATGCGAAACGGAGAGGTGGGTACTCTACTGACGAATTTTTTAAATAACTCATTTCGCTCACATTAAGTCAAGCTACATAGCCGGCCCATTGTAACTTCAGCTTACTGATTCATTGGGGTATGTCAGTTACTCTGGTACTACTGCAGATGTCTATCAAGTCATATGCAGTAGCATCAGAGTAAGTCTATCATGCAGAGAAAGTTTACGAGCATAGCACTCTCCGTAGCTTGCTGAGGGACCTTGAGCTTCCTCATAAGACCAGCAGTGAAGAATAACGTCAGACCCATAAGTCATCGTTGGCAACACGCACTCATGTTACTTAATTTTACTAATAATTAAGTAAGAAATAAAACACTTCGAAGACGAGTGTCCGTCAACACGCGTTAGAGTAGCGTGGCGATCATATTAGTCAATAACCCTCTTATAAATGAAAAAAGTCCTGTGCCCAGCAGTCATACTTAGAATAGACGTAAATTTACTTTACTTTTTCCATAATTGTTTTAAAATATTCAGATTCCGACAGTAAAAAGGAGTAATGTATAACACTTTTATTACGTTTCCAAACGTTTCGGGCAGCTGTTCACCTATCGAGAAAATTTATGATTCAACCAAACTGTAAGTGATGATATCGCAATATAGAAATTTATCAGTCCTTATAAGAGGCAATGTTCCATTGCTACATGCATATAGTAATAACTTAAGCTTAGTAATAAAACGGTCTGTTTAGAAGATAGGTGCAAAGCCTGAAGGGGATGATACCTTAACGCTTAAGAACACATTAAACTTGTGTTAGATGAAGTCTGGTAATTATATTTAATTGAATTTCGAAGGTTTTTAAAAATAAAACTAAGTTTTTCAAATAATTTTCTAATAGTGTCCAGTAACAATTGTTATGTTACCTAATATTTTTATTTATTTCGTATTTAAGTAATGTGTGATTATTAAAAAATAATTTACAAACATCTTCATAATTAGAAAAACAGTCTACGTATATATAAGTTAAAGAAACGTAAATTAAGGAAATTTTGTGTTACTGCCATCATAAAAAATAAAATCAAATTGCCTTTGTTATTCTAACATTTTTATAAACATGCTTAGTTATTGCCCTTTCTTTTCAGGTATTATTCATGCAGATGTCTCATCAACTCTTGAAATTAGGGTGTACAAAGCAAATTTAGAATGAATATTTTTAATTTTTATCAGACCTATAAAATAACATGTTTTAGTAAAATAACTTTTTTTCGTGTCCAAAATGTTTACCACAATTTCTGACACAAGCGTGGACTTATTTTTCTTTTCTGTGGTCGTAATTTTCATTTTCATATTCTGCTTCATAACTTAAAAAGTCGTATAGATTCTTCCTATTATTACTCTTTGGTTGATTTTTCCACTAAATAATTCATCTGGGAGTCTTAATGGCTCGCCATAGACAAGTTCTGCTTAAGAACACTGCAGATCAGCCTTAAACGCCCTTCGAATAACCAATAGTACTAGTGGCAATGATATCCGTCCATTTGCTGTCCGTGAGACATATAATAGCTAAATTAAGTTGCCGATGGAATCGCTCCACTAGGCCATTAGAAGCGGAATGGTAATCTGTGGTTCCGCGGTGTTCGAATAAGTTGGACTTTGTTGACTGTGGTCAGTCACTATGTCGGTCGGACAACCAGACAAAAGTGCCTTGGCTATAGTTTAGGCCGCAATGGGAATGACTTCCGCCCACCTCGTAAAATTCTGAATTGCCAAACAAAGTCCAAACGCCATATTCTGGCGTCTCTAATATGGCGTCGAGTGATAGCAAACTATTTGTAACATATATATGATGTATATAACATATATATATATATATATATTTGTTATGCATAATCTGATAGCTTATTTAATAACGTTTCCATTGATATATGATTTTAATATACTTACTTAGTATGTATATATATATACTTGTTACTTAGTACTTCGGAAAGTGCTCGACAGATGCGCCATATTGGCCAAAATGACCCCGACATTGGAGTGGATAGTGGCAGAAATTATTTAAGTACAGAAGTGGTCCGATAAGGTCAATGTGAACATATGTAAACCTGGTTCGAGCTAAAGCTAAGTACCTAAAGGTGCTGATACATGACAATTTACTTTCGTTTCGTCGTGTTTTCAAGCTGTAATAGAAATTTATTGACTGATGGGAAATTTTGTAGCCTATTTTAATCGTGTTTTTCCTTTAGAATACAAAAAATTGATTGTTGATAGTTACAGAATTATTCAATAATTTTGTGTAGAATAGTATGTATATAAATAATTTTGATTTCATGAACTAACAAGTATAATGATAAAAATATAGTTGCAAAAAGGAAGGAATTTTTTTTCGATCGTATAGCACTCGCTAATACTTTGCATTATGAGTAGTGCAAAACTAAACGAAACCCTCATTTTGAAAAAAAAACGTTTTGAGTATAAAACTTAGAAATTAAGTATTTGAACACTTTGAGTAATTTTCTTTTTTGTATTTTTTTTAGGTATTGAAAGAACTAGGAGTTAGGGAACGAAAAATTTTCGTTAAATCACTACTAATAAATAAATTTTAAGCAAATCAACAAAAAAGAGCGATTTGTTCAAAATTCTATATTTTTTTAAACAGATAAGGGTTTTCGATGGATACGAAAAAATATCAAGAGGTTGGAAAAATCAATGAAGAAAATTCTCAAAACCATACAATTTAGATACCTCACGGATATTTTAAGTACTTGACCTTGATATTGCATAGACACTTGGAAAAAACGTAATATAAAGTAAGAATACATGTGGATTAGATTTTTATTTTATTTTTTTTTAATCTTTTCGATCGAGATATTAAACTCCCTGAATTGCATCATTAAACATTATCCATTTTGATTATTTAGTAATCATATTTCTACCTTGAGCTCTGCTACAACTGTCGAAACCGCTACTTCCACTATTTGTAAATAAGAAGAGAAATATTATTTTATATCTGTTTTAATATACGGAAAACACTAATTAAGCACTCAGTTATTACCGTATATCACTAAGTAATAACCCAATTTATTCTAATTTTTTCAGTACATATTCTGCTAAAGATGTCAAAGTAGCAGTTTACGGTATTTAAAAAAGTATTTCCCAAATTTTTTTGCGTATATCGAGAGCAAAAATGCGCACTAAATTAATAATGATGCTTCTATTTGGTGCTGTATTTAGTAGTTACGTTTTAGGAGGTAGAACGCTGCTAGCTTAATTAAAAGTTGGCGCTCTAAGGATTAAAAAGATGTTAAAAATTAATTCTCTAATAATAGGTAAGCTAAGCTACCCCGTTATAAACTAAAATGATGTGTCTTACCTAGTTTGAAGTGCCCACCATCAATTGCATGCACTATTCCCATGGCCCCTAATCCCAGCACCTTATCCACCTTAACTAATTACTTTACAACATCTCTTATATAATAGACTTCCGCGAAGTAAACCGATTCTATAAATAAACGAAATTTAATATTTTGTAATAGATATGTGGAAAAAATAATAGAGAAACCGTCTCTTTAGCCGAATTCAAAAAGTAGGAGGCTTCCAATACGTCTGTATATTTAGATATTTTCGCCTATTGTTGACTGATTCATAACTCCTTTTTTAAATAGGTTAATATTTCTGGGGTGGTCACTTATAAATTTAAGCACTAATTCCACCTCTAAGGTAAAATAGGGAGTGAAGTTCTAAACGTTTTTTAAAACGTCACTATTTCGATGGCATTCTTGCTGTTATCTTCAGTTTGTGATATTGTTTCACTCTTTAGTCAATTCAAAAGGGTTAAAAAATTGACTTAAAAGTTGTCCACATATTAGCTTCTGAGGACTTGATCTTTCGCTCACCAGATGTTCACAATCCTAATAATCACAATGTCAGTTAATTGAGGAATTAGCTTTAAATTAAAGTTTATCAGTTTCAAGAGTATTCTATTAATGCACAAAACAATGCCCCAGTAGCTTGCTATTTAATTTTTTTACACACTTTTAACTTTTTTTTAATATTTTTATAATTTTAGAAATATTCGTAGTTTGATTTATTTATACAAAGTTTCTTATATTACAAATATCTTGTATTACAGAAAAGAAAATTAACGTTACATTTTCCTAATAAATTTACTCCCCGTTATTAAATCCGTCAAATAATTTATCTCATTCCAAAGTGACATCTCCCTGGTGACATTAAAAGCCGTGGATGTCGTCGTCGGATTCCTCCCTTAAAACGGGTTCTGTCCTTGCCGTCGTGGGGGCTTAGTA